AAAGTAATATAAGTTTCTTGCTAAATTTTTTCAAACGTTATAGAAATATGTAAAACCGTTGCTTTGGTCAGCATTTTGCTCACTAGGACAGAAAGATGAAATACAATTAGAAAGTTTCACCTCCCCCCTTCCCTAAAGGTAACCTCTGTTAATAATTCCGCATAAAGCCCAGCAGATCTTTTTCCTATGTACACACTTAATTAGGCAATAACTTTTTTTTTTAAGATTTTATTTATTTATTTGAGAGAGAGAGAATGAGAGAGCACATGAGAGGGGGGAGGGTCAGAGGGAGAAGCAGGTTCCCCGCCGAGCAGGGAGCCCGATGCGGGACTCGATTCCGGGACTCCAGGATCATGACCTGAGCCGAAGGCAGTCGCTTAACCAACTGAGCCACCCAGGCGCCCTTAATTAGGCAATAACTTTTAAAGATCTCTGCACTCTATTTTTGACAACTATCTTATATCAAGTAGCAGTGAGAAGAATGACCAATATGTGACGCTTATCCGATTTTAAAAAAGAATTCAGCCTCATATTTTAAACAGGGAGAAATTGAAGCTCCAAAGAAATATGTTTTAAAAATAGATGGGAAAAAAGCCTGTCAGTGTTTGGAACTAGAGAGAGCGAGGGTAACCACATTCTGGGAAACTGTAATGCTAACAGGTTTTCTAGCTGTCAAAACTTGAAATAGAATCTACAGGGGCCCAAAGGTTTGAAATAAGAATGTGGTCAGATGCATAGATGGTATGGACTTGCAGCAGACTAAAACAAACACCAAAATAGCAACAGAGTCTGTCTCAGATGAGCTTGCTTTCCCAGCAGCCTCTTTGCTTGCAAGACATTTCTATTACATTTTCCTAAAAGGGAATCATGCTTCCCTTGAAACAACAGTCCTGCTCACATCGCATGGGGCACCAAACTTCTGCAAATTTCTGACCAGGGGGGCCCATGCTTAGAATATGCCCCATCTTGCTGTTTCAAAACTAACAATCCCTATCTTGCTGAGACACCATGTTCCAAACACCTGCAAGTCACCTGTTTGGAGCTTGCATCACACATTCTTATAGAAACCAGTCTAGGTAGGATTTGAGGATCCTGAGAGCAGGCCAGTTAATTCGATGGCACCTGAAGTACCTAATGGTGTGAACCGCAGAAATAGGAGATCTCGGTTAACGTTGTCTTTAAAATGCATTTTCTTTAAGCGTCCTAATTGGGGATGCCTGGAATGTGGTTCTAATCTCAAGGCCAGGGACTCCCCATGCAGGCTTTCCAGGCCTTGGAATCACCATCTTCCCGAATATGGAACAGAGCAAATGACAGGAGCCTAGGGCCCGTGAGGAATGGGTGGGAAGCTCCCCACACAATAAGGTCACCTTGTCCAAGGGGCTCTCAGTTTCTCCTCTCAAGGCCCGTAGCTGACAAGGATCCTCAAAGCGCAAATCACTCACCATGGCAAAGATGACCCATTGGTTTGCTTTCATTGCCTCTTCACCCTCTGTATCCTGGGAAGTTGAGCTTATGTGTGGGAAGGAGGAATGTTGTCCTTTACTTTGGGGAATTAGAATGAAGGTAGATGTTCGTGAGGTGCAGCCCTTGGAACGGAAGCAGACACGGGTCCAGCACAGGTTGTTGTTATTGCCTCAAAATGGAAAAAAGGCTCTAGAGTACAGGACGCTGTAACATCCCTAAATTTAAACACGTGTTCTCTCTCTTCTGTTCCTTTTAGTAAATAGTAATATAATTCTTAAAATAAAAAATTTCTGTGGTTTTCCGGGGGATGGGGGGAGAGACCAGCAAAGACGGGGAGTTAGGGAGCCTGTACATTTTCTCTCTGAGCAGTGTTGGGAGAAGAGAATTCCAAGTGTTAAAGTGGATGGTGTGGCTTTAAGAGGTGTAAACTGTAAGAGTAAAGCAGAGAGAGGACCTCTCTAAACAGCAGCATCAGCATCACCTGTGAACCTGTTAGACATGAAAGTTCTCAGGCCCCACCCAGACCCACTGAATCAAAAATTCTGGGAGTGAGGCCCTTCGGGGGAATTCCAGTTATCAAGCTCAAGCTTAGGGACCACTGGGTGGGGATAAGGACTTGGACAGAACTACTTTTATTTATTTATTTATTTATTTATTCATTCATTCATTCATTCATTTATTTATTTTCTACTTACTTTTTTACCTCTTTCACCCATTTCTCCTACTCTCTACCCCTTTGCCTCTGGCAACCACCAATCTGTTCTCTGTATCTATGAGCTTATTTCTTGTTTGTTTGTTCTTTTTTTAATTTTTATTTTGTTTGTTTGTTCTTTTAGATTCCACATACAGGAGAGATCATACAGTATTTGTCTTTCTTTGTCTGACTTATTTCACTTAACATAATGCCCTTGAAGTCCATCCATGCTGTTGCAAATGGCAAGATTTCATTTGTTTTATGGCTGAATATTCCGTTAAATATGTATACCACAATTTCTTTATCCATTCATCCATTGATGGACATTAAGGTTATTTCCGTATCTTGGCTATTGAATAATGCTACAATGAACATGGGTATAGCTTTTCAAAATAGTGTTTTCACTTTCTTCAGATAAATATCCAGAGTGGAATTGCTAGATCATATGGTAGGTCTATTTTTAATTTTTTGAGGAGCATCTGTGCTGTTTTCCATCGTGGCTATATCAATTTACATTCCTACCAACAGTGCGGGAGGGTTCTCTTTTCTCCACATCCTTAGTGACACTTGTTATCTCTTATCTTTTTAATAAGAGCCATTCTAACAAATGTGAGGTGATTTTCACTGTGGATTTGATTTGTATTTCCCTGATGATTAATGATGGAGTGATCTTTTCATGTGTCTGTTGGCCAGCTATATGTCTTCTTTGGAAAAATGTCTATTCAGATCCTCTGCCCATGTATGTGTTTTTTTTTTCTTTTTGTTATTGAGTCGTATGAGTTTCTTATATATTGGATATTAGCCGCTTATCAGGTATATGATTTGCAAATATTTGCTCCTATGCAGTAGGTTGTCTTTTCATTTTGTTGATGGTGTCTTTGCCGTGTAGCAGCTTTTGGCCTGTGGTAGCCCCACTTATTTCTTTTTGCTTTCATTGCTTTTAAAAATAGAGCTGCTTTTATATCCTGGCTCTGCTTTTTAACAGCTGTGTGAGTTGAGCAAGCTAATTAATCTGAGTTTATGAAGAAAATTAAATGAGATAACATATTTGAAACACTTAGCACAATGCTAGATATATAGAAAGCACTCAGTAAATGTTAGCTGCTGTGATCACCCTTTTGTATGAAGGGAAGGAGAAAGGATGAGTCCTAAAGACTGTAAACAAGTTAGCACAGCATTTGCCTGTTGAAAGGGCCCTTTCAGACTCTAGCCTTGTGTTTCCAAGGCATCCACAATTTAGATAAATTCTGTGTGGTTCATCCACCCAGAAATTTGAACAGAGCCGTAGTTCTCAACCTGACTGATCATCCGAACCTCCCGTGGAGGTTTTTTTTGTTGTTGTTTTGTTTTGTTTTTTAGATTTTATTTATTTGACAGAGAGAGGCACAGCGAGAGAGGGAACACAAGCAGGGGAAGGGGGAGAGGGAGAAGCAGGCTTCACGCGGAGCAGGAAGCCCGATGCGGGGGCTCGATCCCAGGACCCTGGGATCATGACCTGAGCCGAAGGCAGATGCTCAACGACTGAGCCACCCAGGCGCCCCCCGTGGAGGTTTTTTAAAAAAATATCTTTTATATATTTTTTGCGGTGGGGAGGGACAGCGGGAGAGGGAGAATCTTAAGCAAGCTGTGCACTGGGCAGAGCTCAATCTCAGGACCTTAACTGACGGAGCCACCCAGGCACCCCTAATTTTTTTTAATTAATTTTTTTTTTGAGCGAGAGAGCCGTCGCCCCCCTCCCCCCGGAGCTTTTAAACTGCCCTGCCTGGACCTTCAAGCAATCATCTTCAGCAGTAGGCCCTGGGCATCTATAATTTAAAATTTCCCATAGGCAACACTGCAAAACAGCTACTGGAATTGAAAGGTATGCTAGCTAGAGCTAACATGTATTGAGTTTCTGTTTGTGCCAGGCACTATGCTACCTTCTTTATTTATATTGCTTCCTTTAATTCTCACAGCAACTTATAAGGCAGGCACTGTCAGTTTCTTTTATATATGAGGAAACTGAGGCAAAGGGCCTAAATAACTCAGCCAAGTTCACATAGCCGAGAAGTGACTTAGGACCTGAACCCAGGTTTGAGCTACTAATTGCAATTAACTAATGTATCCATTTACTCATTCACCCAAAATTTATTACGTGTGACCGGGTAAGGAGTTGAGAGCCAGAGAATCTAAAATTGAACAAAAATCCCCATCCCCATCCTCAAGAAGTTCATGGCTTTTGTGCGTGTGTTCGGAATGAACAAATGACAGGTTGTCTCGTTTTAAAAGATGATGTCATGTGTCGGTGTTTGAGAGGCTGAAAAGATTTTCTATGACTTCCAGCCTCTTCCCCTCGGTGACCATTTATAGAATCCACCGCTTTGGCAAATCAGCCTCCCAGACTGGGAAGCGCCAGCGCCGTCGAGGGGCGGCCCGCACCAGCGTCTCCCCGCAAGAAGGGCTCCAGCGCAGGCTCGCCGTCCGTGTTAGCCCCTCAGGGTGGTCCTCGGCTGCCCCCGCTGGGTTGTCTCACTTCAGTTCCGCACCTTTCTTGGTAGGTCCATCAATCAAAGGGCGGGGAAGGAGGTGTCTCACAGCCGAGCTTCCACGTGGACTCTCTTCCACGGATGAAACCTGTCCCTTACACCTCAAGCGAGCACTGCTACGAAATTTCCCAGAAAAGTACAGAGAGAAGACGGAGACCTGCTTTTTAGAATCGTGAAATCTTAGCGCTGGTTAAATCCCTGGACGTGACGGAAGGCTGATCAGGAAACGGAGCTGCAGGGTCTCGAACCCTGCTGGCCCTGGGCTCGCGGCGCCATCAGCAACCGCTCACTGCCTCCTACCGTCAGAGCCGAGCACTGTTCCAGACAGACGCAATATTCAAGGGCGGCGACCGTCACCTTGGAGCAGGCAAACGGCCCAACCTGGAGGCGGCCTGGGAGGACACCACCCCCCGGGGCTGGGGTGGGGACACCCACGTGCAGCCACCACGTTTTCCTTGCGGGTCGGTGGGGGAGGAGAGAGGGTTTGGGGTCAGCGGCCGTTCCCGGGACCGGTATTCAGAACGCACAGAGAGAGGTGGTAGCGGAACCTTTCTCCTCCGCCTCGCTCTCGCTTCCCCCCCGGAACCGGTTGGCGTCGGACCCAGTGGTGGAGGCTTATAAACATGGAGACAGCCGGTGCCAGGCCTGGGCCGCCGTCCTCTGGTCTCGACACTCCGGGATCCCCAGACGATCGGCTTTTCCTGGTGAAAGGTGTGGTGTGGTGAGGTGCTGGTGTCGGGGCGAGCTCTTCCGGGGCCTGCGCTGGAGCCGCCATTCCCCGCCCTGGGAGACCTTCCCTTGGGTTGCCCCTGAGTTTAGCTGGTGGGGATCGGCCAGTCAGGGGTCGTGCGGGGTGGAGTCTCCCCTGAGCTGTGTGCTGTATTTCCCCCATCCCCTCTATAGTTTCTCTTGTGCCTTCCCCTACCTTCCACTAGCTTGTTTTCCTCCCCGGGAGAAACTTCAAACCGTCCCCGGGAAGAGGGGAAGGGGCCCTGGGCCAACTCTCAGCACTTGGGAACGGTCCCGCAGAACGATCTCAGGAACCAGAGGTCAGGAGGTCACGCAGGTTTCGCACTGCTATCGTTTACCTTTATGGCCAGAGCTGTCTAGCTTTCGTTCTCAAATTTCAAAAGTGACTTAAAATGTAATTTAAATAGTGTCTGGACTTACTTTGGGTACGTCTTCTTAAGGTGTTGTGTTTTTTTTTCTCTCTCTCTTTAATCTCTCTCCTCCCCCTCCACGCCCTACCCCCAAAACTCTTGGCAGGTGGAGTTTTCCTTGGTACTGTGGCTGCAGCAGGAATGCTAGCCGGATTTGTTACAACATTATCATTGGCTAAAAAGAAGAGCCCTGAATGGTTCAATAAGGTTTGTGACACGGAAATCCATTTATAGCATTGTTATTGTTTACAGATAATTGGCAGCTGTTGTGCATAGGAGAAGTAAATAAAATGTTGGTGGCCTTTCATATTGTTTTAAGAAGTAAACCTATATACATCTCATAGATTCAGGAAATGTACAAATTAATCAGTGGTCTTTATTTTCATTTAGAAAGAAGTATTTAGGGACTCCTGGGTGGCTCAGTTGGTTAAGTGTCTGCCTTCAACCCGGGTCGTGATCTCGGGGTCCTGAGATCAAGCCCCATATGGGGCTCTTTCCAGTGGAGAGCCTGCTTCTCCCTCTCCCTCTGTGCACTCTCTCTCTCAAATAAATAAATAAAATCTTTAAAAACGAAAGAAAAAAGAAAGAAGTATTTAGTTATGTGCTTTCTTTTTCTTAAATTTTAGCAGAACAAGACTTTGAAAGCTCATCCAGTACATTTCCTATTCACAACATGACTAAGTCTAAATCTGGGTAATTCCCTATCAGTTGTAAGAGGCCCCGGTATTTTATGTACCACTAAGGGGAAAAAAATGATGCCAGTTTAATTCTTGACACAATACTGATTGCCAGAGGCATTTCTATTTATTTATTTATTTAAGCTCTCCACCCAGATCAAAAGTCTCATGTTCTATTGACTGAGCCAGCCAGGCGCCCCACCAGAGGCCTTTCTATTTCAAAAATGTTCAATTGTTGAAGTAAAGTGCATCTTATCATTGATGAAAAACATGGATCAGCTCCTTGAGCCCGGAGATCACACGTGCTTTGTGCTGCTTCATCCCTGCTCCCCAGAAAAGTGCCTGACACATAAGTGCTCAATCAGTTTGGGTTGAATGACCATAAGCTTCTTAAGGCAGAAAATTCTTAACTCCATGAGCAAGACTGAGTAATCACTCATGTGGTCATACCCCAGCTGTTGAGGATTGTTTCTTCTCATTGACTTGTAGACTTGCAGTTACTTGTTAGCATGTGTTGTCCTGTCTCTGCCCTCTCCATCCCGTATCGTTTATTTAGCTATCATTTCATTGCTTCAGATGTTAACTTGGGATCTTTTATGTGTCAGGCACTGTGCTAGCTCGGTGCAAGAGATAACAAAAATGAACCAATGTTTGCCCTTCAGGAAGCTAGCATCTGTGCAGGAGGAGACAGATATTAAATATTGATGCAATTAACTATATAATTATAATTTGATGTTTGCTTGGAAGAAGAGTGTTATGTGAAACATCGTAAACGAGTCGAGTTCCCTTTCCACTTACATTTTTAATAATCTGATATCATACTTAAGCACTGTAGATACTGTAAAGGAAAAAGACCACATTTAAGGTGCTTTTGTTCTCCATCTGAATACTCAAGGCTTAAATGGAGCTACCCAAATCACTGTGATGAACCCTGTGGTCATTTTCACCCTGTATTATAGAATATTTTCAGTGCAGAACTCTATCTTGTAGAAGGAATCAGTAAAGCCTAACTGATAGTGATGCTTTAACAGTAGAATTTGCATTCATTTGTAAGCCTGAATTACCAGGTTAACCTTTGGGTCACAGACCTTTCTGAGAATCTGATGAAAGCTAGGGATTCTCAGGAAAAAAAAAAACAACCCATACCCACATTTACAACTTGGCATTCTATTTTGTGGTTCTAAGATTTGATGGTCACACATGCCCTATCAAACACGGTGGTTGTCAGGCTGTGGGCCATAGAACCCTAGGGATCCTTGAGACTCTTTGGGGGTCTGTAAAGTCAAAACTATTTTCCTAGTAATAGCGAGGCATTTGCACTAACGGTATAGAAGCACGTGGGGTAAGAGTGCTGGAGCCTTAGTGTAATCAAGGCGGTGGCACCCAGCTGTACCGGCAGGCCTGGTGGTCTTCACTACCGTGCATCTGTAGTTAAAAAAAAAAAAAAAAAGCCCTCACTGCATAAGAATCTCCTTGTTATAGCAGTAGAATTACTGATTTTATTAAATCTTAACCCTTGATTATACCTCTTTACTAATCCACGTGAAGAAATGGGAAGTACGCATAAAGCCTTTCCGATTTATATCAAAGAAAGACGTTTTTCTCCAGGAAAAGCAATGGTGTGATTAAATTGCATGCTGAACTAGCTGCTTTTTTTCCCCATGTAATAACATATTTTATTTGAAAGAGGAACTGACAGACTATAGTTATTCAGAAGTGGGTATTTGACAGACATTTTCTTCAAAATGAACAAAATGAGCCTGTGTCGTCTCTTCAAGCAAGCACTTGTCAGTATTTGTTGCCAATGATAAAATTGGAGCTTGCAAGTGAAAATTAAATCTTAGGATTTAAAATCTGGTTGGGTCTCAGGTATCCCAATACTTGTATCTGCCATTGTCAGCTTAATAGGTGCTCAATACGTAAAGGCTTTTCTGATGAGATTGGTGGTAGCGTTAATGATGTGAAATTTTAAATGTTTAATACATGGTGTCAACATTGGAAAGATCTGCATGACTTGGTAAATCAGTATTTTCTGAATGATCATAATGCATGGATAAAAGGTCCCCATTAGAAATACAAAATAGACTAATGGATTTTAATGTAACAAAGTACAAAAAACTCATCGGTGTGACTTCAGATCCCAGAGTGCATGCCGCTATTTGGGAAGTTTTGGTGGAGCATCAAAGAAGGAAGGCTATTAAAATACTTGTCCCTTTTCCAACCACAAATCTCTGTAAGGCTGGACTTTATGCAGATTCTTCAATCAAAAAACATATTGCAACAGATTGAATACAGAAGCATTTATGAAAATTCATCTGTCCCTTGTTAAGCCAAACATTTAAAAGATTAATCAAAATGTAAAACATTGCCTCCTTGCACTAAATTCTTTTGTTTTGTAAGGTAGCTGTTTCATAAAAATAGGTTTATATATATATTTTTTAAATTTATTTGTCAGAGAGAGAGAGAGAGAAAGCATAGCAGGGGAAGCAGCAGGCAGAGGAAGAAGCAGGCTCCCTGCTGAGCAAGGAGCCTGATGTGGGACTCGAATCCCAGGACCCTGGGATCATGACCAGAGCCGAAGGCAGACGCTTAACTGATTGAGCCACCCAGGCGTCCCAAAAGTAGGTTTATATTAATCTATACTGGGTTTATTTGTAAATGAATTAATACTTAAAATTTAAGAATTTCTTAGCTTTAATTTCTAAAATATTAATTATTATTAAGTATAGGCCACATAATCAGAAATCTTTGGGATCCAAGTATAAATGGATCCTGAGACCAGAAAGTTTGAGAACCACTGTTCTGGATGGTTAAATATGTTGTGTAAAGTTCTGCCTCCCCTCTGGGGAAACATCTGAATTAGAGCATTACCATTGATCCAGACTCTGTTTGAGAGGCTCAGAGGTTCTGGAGCATTTAATGCATTTACACTTAGCAGGCGCCAGTTTAAGAATACCACTTAGGCAGTGTACTGCCTGGCAGTTTTCTCTGACATTAATAGTGATAATAATATCTAGCATTTGAATGCTTACCATGTGCTACCTGCTGTTTTAAGGGTTGGGGTTCATTGAACCCCCATCACAACCCCATGAGATGCTGTTATTATGTTGTCCCCATTAAACTGAGGCAGGGATGGATTAAACAATTTGCCCACCATGGCACTCTTTCCATCTTTGATTATTTTTGGAGAAGAAATTACACTATTTTTAGCAATTTTTTATTTAAATAGATTTCTGTCCACTGGCTTGGAATCTAGACATTAACTATAATACAGATTCAGATTGCAACTCAGGACTTTAAAAATGATCAGCTTTTAGTTGGGGACTGCCTACATTGCTATTATTTCAGGAGGATGGTCATCATTTCTTTAAAATCTTAACTGCATTGTCTTAGCTGAGTATCAGGCTAGAAAACTGGGAATGGAACGGCAGTAGTAAGTGCTGAATGAACATTCATTTTTCTTTGTCCTTCATTGAAGAAGCAGAGGAAGGTGTAAGCTAAGGTGGCTTTTAAAAGCACATGTACATATGTAACACATATATAATTTCTGTCCTTCCCAAGGAAATAAGGAATTTTTTAACTTAAGTTTCTAAAATAAAATTTAGGCACTTAAGTTGACCCTGGTTTAATAATATTTGGTTAACGTTACTGCTTCTGGATGAAAATTCAGGCCAGTTAGAAGTTAGTGAATTTATATGAGATCTGTGATATCTAAAGAACCACTCTGAAATTACAGCAACGTGAGAAAAGGGGTAAGAGAGTGTTTTGATCATAGAAAATAACTAAAGAAACATCTCTTGAAAATCTGGTTGGGTCTCAGGTATATTACAAACAAGTGTTAAGTCAGCAAATAATATCTTCTGGGTCAGGGCATGGTGCGAGACATGAAAATACAGGTAAACCAAGTGTTTCTGTGTGCCACCAATAGCATTCATAATCATAGCACACATGCTACAAACCTTTATTCAATGGGTTGAGCAATATAAAGAAAATTATTCTAAAAAGGGAAAGGCTTGAGTAAATGGAAATTTGTTTCCAGAAGAAAGACCAAACATAAATTTGCTATCTTATCACATTAGCTAATCAGTTTGATGACATTGTAATGAAAATGCCAATGAATGGGACTCAGAGAAATCTTGACAGAATGTTTTAGGGCTTTTCTGGGAGAATTAATAGGCAAAAAACAGCAAAGAAGTTTTGGAAAAAAATAATCAGTAATCGGTGCTTTCAGTGATGGGGTGGATATTCCCTTTTGAAGCATGCATTGCATTCCTATTCTTCTCTAGTCAAGTTTTCATGCTGATAGTCTGAAAGTTGTTCAGTTATTATGGTATAGATTTTTACCTTAATATGATACCTTGAAACCCAAGAGGAGAGTCATTGTTTATTTTCTAGTTTCTCATGAATAGCTGCCATAAGCTGGGTTTCTACTATGTGCCCTGCATTTTGCATATGTATTTAAAAGTCTTTGTAGTGACTTAGATTAGCTCACCTCTTTGAGGAACCCCTCCTTAAAGCTTCCTCTAATTGCAACAACAGATTAGGTATCCTCCTCTGGGACTATGGTGCCCTATGTGTATAGTTCTATTGTCGCACATTCCATTTAGATCATAATTAACTTTTATGTGTCTGTGTCCTCCTCCCCTCCCTCCATTGACTGGGATCTTTAGTCAGAAAGAAGCTACTCTATTTGCCTTTTTCTCTCCAGTACCTAGCACAGCTCCTGGCAAGGCCCTGAGTACTCAAATATCTGTCAGTCAGAGAAGGGGTGACTTCTCTGCAGTTACTAAGTAGCAAAGCTTCTTTTTGGACTTCAGTTGGTCTGGCTTCCCAAAATTACGGTGACATTCAGAGAGTCATGAGTTTCAAACACTCCTGAAATAATTACTTTTTCCGAACTGATGATTTTTCCTCTCTGTCTTCATTGCAGGGAAGTATGGCCACAGCTGCCTTACCAGAGAGCGGGTCTTCCCTTGCCTTGCGAGCCCTGGGTTGGGGCTCACTTTATGCATGGTGCGGGGTTGGTGTGATCAGCTTCGCAGTCTGGAAAGCTTTAGGAGTTCACAGTGTAAGTAACTACAGTCCTGTAATTGGTATCTGGAATGTTTATTCCACTTTCTGTGGTCTAAATATGCCTGATTTTCAAGAAGTGTGTGTGTGTGTGTGTGTTTGTGTGTAATTTATACCCCAAGTTAAAAAGCTGTATATTAGGAATGATTGGCTTTTTTTAAACTACCGGTAGGAAGTTCTGTGGACAAGGCTGCACATGTGTGACAGGTGAGAATTGACGGTGGTTTGGAATAGGTGGCAGCAAGGGAATCGAGGTAAAGAGGTTCTGGATATATTTTGAAGGTAGAGTCAACAAGGACTTGTTATACGTCGGATGTGAGAGGTGAGAGAATAAATGAAGTCAAGGATCTCCAAGGCTTTTGGCCTGTGAGCAGTTGGAAGATGGATGGGAACCAGTGTGAGAGGAGCAGGTATTCAGGGATAATGCTAGGAGCTCAGTCTGGGGCCTGTGAGTTTGAAATATCTGTTGGATCGCTAAGTGGAGAGTCAAGCAAACAGATATAGAAGTTTGGAATTCAGAGGAGAGGTACAAGGTCAAGATGTAAATTTGAGACTCTTCAGTATATGGGTAGTGTTCAAAGCCAGGAGACTAGGTGAGCTTACCAAGGCATTGAGCTCACCAAGGAGCTCTGGGCACTCCCAAGGTTTAGAGGTTGGGAAATACGGAGCAAATTAGCAAGGGAGATTTCCCTACCAAAGGAGAAAACCCAGGAGAACCGGGAGAATGGTGACTTGGACACCACGTGAAGAAGGTGTATGGTCGGTTTAAATCATGTAAGATGAGACTCAGGAGTTTGCCAAGTTAGCCTTGATGGCAGTCCTTGGTGGGTAAAGCCTGGGTGGAGTGGATCCAAAAGAATGGAGGAGATTGTATATACAGGCATGTCTTGAGTTGTGCTTTACAGGGAAAGAAAGAGATGGGGTCATAGCTGGAAAGGGGACTGAGATCAAGAGAGGTGTTTTTTTGTTTGTGTTTTTGTTTTTAAGTTGGGAGAATTAACAGCATGTTGAGTATGCTGATGGGAGTGATTCTGTAGACGGGGAAATTGCAAGGGAGGGGGGAGTGATAAGTAATATAATTATTATAGGCATTACTGAGTTTTTTATATTTGGTTTAATCATAACTGAACATAGGCATTATTGTACTTTTCACTCAAAGTATACTGATAGACAGATAGATGTTGCTTTTCTTCTAGTCCGACTAACCTTTATTTTTAAAGTAACTTTGCTGCTAGTAATTGTTTATAACAGTAAAGTTGTGTTTACTTGGAAAAGTTAGAAAACCCATGACTGAAGATTTTGGATGATTTTTGTTGTTAACCTCAGTTTTGCTTTTGACCAGTATAAAATCTCTCCTTCCATTGCAGGCATTGTACCAGACATTTTAGGCATAGCAGATTATTTAGTCTTCACAATAACTATGAAGCAGTTAGTAATATCCCCCATCTTTGGAACCTAGATTTTTTTTTCTCCAGTGTTACCTCCCCTAGCTAAGATTGGAAATAAATGAGTAGTTGGAAGGAGCCAGAATGAGGAGGAAGGAGGTAGTAAATTCAGTTTTGATCGTGATGTGATCCACACATTCTTGATAACTTGACAGGTTTTCCTGGGTATCTTCAATGTGGGCCTCATCTCCCAACATTGTAATTAATATCAGTCAGGTATAGGACTGGGCCATTCTTTCCTCATAAAAGAGAAGGTCTCCTTTTAGCCTTCATCTTCAGTAGACAAATGCTTAGGGTATAATGGTAAAGCAGGATTCATTTGTATATATAATATGAGAGCAGTTATTTGAAAACAGGTGGAAACAACAGGGGGGAAATATGCCCGGTATAAATGTGTGGATGAATTATGGGTGTGGGAGTGAATTTTTTTTTTTTACTTTTCTGTACATTCTTAAATATGTATTGCTTTAACAGTAATACTACCTTTAAAAAAAAATAGTGCTGGATTTTATTTTTTATTAATTTATGCTAAAAATGAAGCACAGCTGCCTAGAAGTTCACAAAACTTCTTTGACTACATGTGACATATACTTGAGGGCATGAAATACTTAATAATAAGGTTATTAAGCTTTTAGTTTCTATAAAAATGATGGTCTGTTAGCACTTTATACTGACTCCATGGAATTGTTAGGTGATGTTTCCAGAACTTAGTAATGTAGGTCATAAACTGAGTAATAAAGTTTTAAGATATTTTAAAATATAACCTTTGAATGAGAAGAGTCATAATGAATTGATCCAAATTTTCATAGACCAACAAAGTAAAGATATTTAGATTAAGTTATATGCTCAAGAAGTTGGGCTTTATGGACTATCCGGTGCTATTCTAGTTTCTAGAATGTGAACTTCTTTGTTTTATGGCCTAAATAAAATAGTTGGGCAAGAAAAATTGTTTTCTGATTGGCACTACTGAATACAAGGACACTTGGAATCTTTTTATATCTTCATGTCTTTAACTAAAACGTGAGAATACAAATGTACTGTCCCCCTACCTGTAGGTCATTAGGAATATCAGTTTGATATCCATATCTGAGAAGTCTCACAGAAAAATGAACCACTGATAGTTTTTCAAGGGCACACCTTTTAAAAGCAGTAGTGTTTATTAATTTGTTCATTCAAAAGACATTTGTGGGCCTACCCTGAGCCAGGCACTGTGCCTAGACAGGGCTCCCCAGTAGACCGTTATTATGGATGCCTTCAGTTTTAAGACTCTCTAAGCAAATTCTTATTATATGACCCACTCTGAGTCTTGTGGAGAGCAGTATTACATTTCAGTTCTCCTTTAGAGAGTTCTGAGGATAATTGTGAGATTGTCCTGAGTCCTGGGAAATGTTATCTTTCCATGACTAAAGAAAACAATCTTAGAAAATGCTGGACAGAAATGGTCCAGGTCTCTGCACTCAATAAATAATTGATATGATTATTCTAGGTAAATTCAGGTAAATCAAAATCAAGCCCAGTGTCAAATAATTGTTGGTAGCAACCTTGAATCATATTAAAGTGTCATTATAAACCCAGTTCAAAAAAAGAAGGGTGCCATCTACTGGCTGAAGGAGAGCAGTTCACATTCCCTATTTTAATTCACAGCTACATCTGCTGGCCTAAACAAGGGCATGCTGCAGTGCTTGAAGCTAAGGTCTTCAGTTTCTTAGAAATATTTTGGATTTACACTTTATTCGTAGTTATTATGGAATTTATTTCACATATAACATGTATAATACATCAGATGTAAATTTATATTTTACATAATAGTGTTATCATTTAATTAGAGATTCCAAAAAAAGGAGAGCTAGTGGAGCTATCTTGTCAGCAGACTGAAGCCAGTAGGTGTGCCAGGATTTAAGGTGGGAGCCTCCCTCCCTTGTGTATGAACCAGTCCAGATTCAGCCTGGGATCACCTCACCAGTTCCAGCCTGCCAGCATGGTGGGCCAGCAAGCAAGGCCTGATTGCTCAGTATGGATTCACCAATTTCTTTGAATTATGGTATTTTATCATCTGATTATGATTGAGGCAGCATTAATTTTATAACAGTAACTTAATTGTGAAAAGAATGAGCATTTACTATGGGTCTGTGGTCCCCTAATGCAGCTAATGATCCCAAAAGATCCCAGATGATCCTGGCAGACTGCCCTGTTCAGGCCAGGTTCACACCGTGGCAGTATGATTAGATTCTTTTTATTAGGGGCAAGTATTTTAAGTTTAGAGTAGTTGAAATAAACGCTTGTCAGTGAGTAAATAAGGATCTCTAGAGATAACAACTAGTAATTCCCCAATTATCAAAAGAAAAAACCAGGGCACCTGGGTGGCTCAGTCGGTTAAGCATCTGCCTTTAGTTCAGGTCATGATCCCAATTTCCTGGGATTGAGCCCTGTGTTGGGCTCTCTGCTCAGCGGGGAGTCTGCTTCTCCCTCTCCCTCTGCCCCTCCTTCCCCCCTCATTGTGTGTGCTTGTGCGCTCTCTTTCTCTCTCAAATAAATTTTAAAAATCTTAAAAAAAAAAACACCATGCCACTTACAATTATTTACATGTTACTCAAACACAAAGACTTAACTTTTGTATCTTTTCTTATTTATATTGAAAGGATTTCTAAAAAGATTGAGCATATTTATGGTTAGACTATTTTGCCTTTTTTTTCTCCCCTTAGAAGGAAAAATGTTGGATGTATAAATAATTCCTGATTGATATGACTGGGAGCTTTAGGGCTTATGCCTGTGGACTCATCTCGTTCAACATTTGTTGGAGGTGAGGCTGTCTCAGAGTACGAGTCAGAATCACCATTGCTAACATTTACTGTACCTTGTATTTAATATATTCATGATACCTGGTATAGTTAGAATTCACAGATAATTTACAGTTGTTGCCCTCAGAGGAGCTAAAATCTCAATAGTGATAAAACCATGAATGAAAACATTTTTAGTTATTGTGAAATACTTTAAATTGTCCAGAGACTTAAATTTAAAAATTAACTTGCAAATAAAGGGAATTTTTAGTTTAGTTTGTTTTTTACCATGTAATTAGAGGTATTTGTTTTTATTTACATATATTGCTTATTTTTAAAGAAAAACATGTTTAGGACCTTTTTTAAAACAAAGATGGCTTTGTGTTTCTTTTGTTAAAATTAGGTACTCATTGTAAAAACAACAATAACAACAACAAAAAGAGTGTAGAAAAGTACAAAAAAGGAAACAAAAATCACCAGAAATCTCACTGAGTTATAATCACTTATTACAATAAAAACATCCCTTCCTACATTCTATAAGCCTATTCATATAATTGTAGGTAAATGTTTTACTGTTCTATTCTGGAACCTTTTTTCACTGAATAGCCACAAGAACGTCTTTGCACAGTAGACTATATAAATCTCCATCACTTTTAATGGCTACATGGTGCTCCATTATAATTTACTTAATCAGTCTCCTGCCAGTAGCATTTAGATTGTAATTTTTCACTATTAAACACCATAGTGAACCTCTGTAGGCATGCATCTTTTTGTAC